AAAAACAAAATTGAAAGTAACCTAGAACGCATATTATACAATACGCTTCGGCTAGGCAACTTCGTAGTAGCTAACTTAGATTTTTGAAAGAGTCTGTCTAACTTCATGATACTGTAGTCCATCCATTTTCTATTCCTTGTCACGAAAATGAAATCACTGACACACAAAATACTTCGTCCTTCAAAAACCGTGTGGCTGGAAAGCGCTCTTTTCCTTTTACACCAACTAAATATCTTGAGTGAAATCAGTATAACAATGGCCCACAAGCGGCAGAGCTATAAAGTCGCTGAATACTTATAATTCAGTTCGAGTCTGGTAATTCATGGACGTCTTCGGAGTTTTCCCCATGTGTAGCGCACATACCAGTCAACTTCCTTTAGAAAGTACTCCACGAAGGCGTACCTCTCCTTAGGCAGATAGCCTTCGAGGCTTTGCTATAATCATATAAATCAAACCAAAACAATATAAAAATAGATGTGATTTCAAATTATTTTCTCCAGATTACGATATCCTTCCCATCTCGAACAAAAAGCTGAAATTCAATTTACATGTTTTGCTTTGTCTCATGATGAATCATGTGTCCCACTTAATGAAGTCAGCTATATTGGAAAAGTCTATAAGCTTATGTCATGAATCATGTCTAAATTATCACTATCGTACGCATGTGACTGCAGAGGAGGTGCTGAGATTTCGGCCTTTCTACTACGACAGGTTCGGTCGTGTAATGTATTTTAATAAAAATACATGAAATTTAAAACGGTATGTGATTTATGTACCAAGAATGTAATTAATATTTTATTCGCTATCCCAATAAAGTGATTTAGGAGAAAAGTTGCTTCTATAAAATGTAAAACTAATGTTTTTTTTTTTTTTTTTTTTTTTTTTTTTTTTTTTTTTTTAATTGTATACCATAAATAATTTTCACATGAGAAAAGAACAGACAAGACTTAAGTTAACTATTCATATAAATATAAATTTCGGTAGATGAGTAGAGTTACATTTTAGCATTTATTCAAATTGAATTGAAATCCTTGCTCCTATAAGTTATTTTAAGCGATAAATATATTACATACTTTGAAAGCTTTGTTCAAATACTTAACATGACTAAGTAGATTATAGAAATATATTTACGTATGATTCCCGAAAGTTTTAATTATGATATTTATCTTGATAGGCTGGAGTTACGTGTTTAACTAATTAAAGTATTGAAATTAATTTTCTTATTTGCAATATTTATGCTTTAAAATGTTCTCAAAAATTAAAAAAATTAATTTTCAAAAAATAATTTTTGTTGCATGTTTTATAATTGAAACTAAAAGTAGTGTTTGCAGGTATTAAAATTGCATATAATTTTACTGAAAGATATCACTGGATTAAATTGACCTCTGTCTGAAGACTTCCTTTTTGTACTTTTTTTTTTTTTTTTTTTTTTTTTTTTTTTTTTTTTTTTTGCACTTTGGAATCAAATTGGTTTTGCTTTTTTCTTACCTTGGTGGAGGATTTCAGTGATTGATATACGTATTGACTACACGTGAATAAAATCGAAATTATGCGTTAATTTCAAATAGACTCCATAATTTCATTCTACAGTCACTTATAACATCGTATAATAATACATTTATTAAAATACAGATTGTTATGCTATTAACTGGTATTTTTTAATATCTGCTACCTACTTTTAATATGTAATAGAGAAAACATTTATACGAACAAATTGTTATAGAATATTTAATATATTCAGCATATCAGAGTGAAATAAGTTGAATTTCCATAATACTCAGATAATACTAATGGCTCAAGGAATATTTATTTATTTTAAAATTAAATAAAAGCACTATTTTAATTAACGTATTTAATATCTATAATTTATTTTGATTTTTAATTATTATATCACCAATATAAAAAGAAAATTAGTTTATAAACGCACGAACTATAATAATTACTATAAGAGCATTTACTTGATCAGAAAATTACTACAGTACCGAATGACGATCAAGTAGTATCGTTACAAATAAACGTAAATTTTCAAAGCTTAAGTTTCCAGAATGTATTTAAATAAATAGCAGTGAAATTCTAGGCAATTATTTTTAAGTGCCTTTTGCTTAACGTTAAAACGTTTAACTAATTACCCATGAAGTTTACAGGCAGAGAACTTGCGAGTGCAATAAAGCATTTTTATACGAATAAAAGCTTTACCAAAGTTTAGACATAATGGCAAGTCGTTATAAACTATCTCATAATTTTGCAAACGTATAAGTATCAGAGATAATGAAGGAATGATGATTATGCGGATGATCGCAGATTTTCTTCATGCATATTTATAATCTGTTTATATAGCGCTTTGCAATTTGCTCTAACATTCGAGGGTTATATGATCGTTTTATTGGGTAAAATATTTCCTTAAGAGCCATAATTTGGAGCATTTTTTACTTAAGCACTACTTTATAAACAATGAGTTTAATCTTGCATGATTATGTCTGCATATAAAATTTCTCAATCATTTTGACTTCGAATATATGCATTGTTATTCAAAAGTTTATACTTCGGTCTTACTTTATTTTCCCATTGGTTATCTATAACTGGTGTTACAGGTTAGGAGGCAAAAACACATGAGTAAAAGACTCAATGTTCTCTAAATTTCAAAAATTTATCATTTTTGTACCGTTATTAAATCTGTTGAATAAAATAAAATAAAATAAAGTTAACTTGGTGTTGGTTAATTGCGTGTGTACAGAGTTATATGTACAACCCATCCCAGTTCCAGCGATGTAAATTCCCCACCTTCCCAAGACTACATATGTGTTCTAAACTTGTGATGCAGAGCTTGCCGTAAGCATAAGCAGAGCTTGCGATGTCGGTTGCATCAAACAACAGTAGCATCTCAGCATCAAAATGGCACCGTGGGCCCCAGGTAGGCCATGTTAATACAGATAACTAGTGTAAAGGGCCTTTACATGCATACTCAGGGTCGGTAATAGATGGCCCTGTACTCATACCCAACGTAACCTACATACAAAGTCATCTGTTCAGAGTTATTCAAAAGTGAATATTCTAATAAATAGTTTAAATTTATTTACTGCAGGGATAGTGTACTTAATGTTATTACACTTATGTAGTGATATAGTAAAAATCCTTTCCTTATTTCAATATAATGGATATTGAACCTTGTAGGAAGAACAAAGCTAAATTTTCAGAATGAACAAAATACTTTTATTTGAATTTTAAAACAGAACCAAAAAAAATAAATGCTGCAGCTCTTAACTATCAAAATTTAAAACTCTTAACTACTACAGTTAAAACTCTTACAACTATTAAAATACTAAAAATCCTAAACTTTCCTAAATTGTTGTTTGACTTCTGAATCCTAAACTCTCTCAACAAAATATATAAAAATCTTCCGAATTCTCTTCTTGTTGCCACACCGTAAAATGCAAGTTCTTATCCTATTATTTATATTTCACGTTCTCTTTAAGTCACGATCTTTACAAGTCATGATCTTTACAAGTCATGATCTTTACAAGTCACGATCTTTACAAGTCATGATCTTTATGACAAGTCATGATCTTTATGAGGTATGCAAGGCTATTCCAATTGCGGATGTTTTTAAATCACTTGGAGCACATTTTTAATTAAATATCGTTGCTTGGTTAAGTGTTTGCAGTATGCCAGGCTTTTGAATTTGAAATGTTTATATGTAGACTCTTGGTTATATGGCAGCTCGTCAAGTTAGTGCTCAGAATTTCCTGTTTCTCCACAGCTGCAGAGTTCCGAGGCTTTCATTACAAACTGTGAGAAATAACGATTAATGGGCCATACCCTGGGATGAGTCTTACTAACTACAGATTACAAATATTTCGGTGTATGCACAGGGTGATAATGCGGTCTTCGGCCTGTATCACTATGGTCTTACTCTTTTAGGAATCTGACTTTCAATTTTTGTTTTTTATTGTTTTGTGATGGGAGCTGTAAGATATCTTAGTTTGATCAGCCGTTTTTCTCATTACAACACCTTTCGTAATACAATTTGTTCTGCCACGGCCGTAATTACCAGCTGTGCTTTAATCCATTGCAGTGTGATATTGTGATTTTTAGATTTTCTTAGGTCGTTTTGTATGGCAGCAATAACTAAGGGTATTGCGAATTTAAAATTGGATGCAAAGTTTTATTTTGACATTTATAGTTACTTTCTTGGTATATGGATTGCAGCTATTTCTTACCTCGAACCACACTAGTTTTTCTGTGTAGTTGACTTTTCCATTGAGAGTCTATCTGTTCATGACATTATACTTCAAAAGCACTTCCAACGTCGTGCTCAACTTTTGAATCACCTGTATAAATTTCTAATTCAATATCTGAGGTAGGATCTGTGCTGTCTGTGTTGATTTTAATTTCCGTTCCCGTGCCTTATTGTAACATATGTGTGTATAGGTATGCAGCGTGCTTTTCATATTTTCCCTGAGTGACATACTTTATAATCAAGGGTTCTTTTAAGTTGTTTGACTAGTTGACAGATTGCTTCTTAATAATTAAAACAAATTCTTTAGACTATTAAGACTGTTACTTCTTTAGTTTTATGTGCAAAATGTGAAACTCTGCAAGGATTCCAACTGTATTTGTAAAACAAATGTGTGAACATAAAAGTTTCCAAAACACACGCCTTCGATATGACTTCTTGAGCAGATTTGTAAGAATCATCATGTTATGGTCAGTTTCTGGTGTCAAGATTATTCCTAATTACCGTAAAACTTGACCAGAAATAGGGTTCGAGAGGTAGGCGGCAGTAAAAGTTAAATGATATGAATAAAAGATACTATTCGATTTACGTGACTGTTTTAGATAAAAAAAGAATGAAGGAATTCCTTTCTTATTAAGGAAAGTGTTCTTTCCTTAAGCTGGCCAACGGTGACCGCCAGCGGAATTGCGTTGTGAAAAAGGCTTGTTACTTATGAAGTTGTAGGACGTAAATGAATGAGACAGCTATGTAAGAAAAAGAGTTTGACTTAGAACATTGGCACCATTTATTGCGTACATGTTTCTTGAACAATGATGCAAACAGAACAGTAACCAAACGTATTGTTTTCTTAACAGGTGACATGTGAGAGCAGGGTCCGGACACTCGAGCAGCTTTCACTGACTATTCGGGTATCGTCTGACTGCAACTGTCCAGAAAAAGAATATTGCAAACAGTTGCAGATGGTGGAAAACAGGGATATTACGGATTCCTACAATAACAATGCTTATTTACAATATAAAATACATCAAAAACTGCTGTTACTATGTTGAATTACGACAGTAGTAATACGTATTACATTGTACATGAATAATGCACTATTATAATAGTCAACGCAGAGACGATAAAGTAATACGTACAATAATAAAATTTCCTAAAACTCTGCAGACATTGCAGAGCGGTATCAATGCGCATTGTATAAACTTATAGCTATATATATTATACATTAATATTACATGCATACATACAATACATTAATACACAAATAATATAAAAGGTTCATTTGATATATTAATACACTATACATTAATAGTGCACTCGATATATTAAAACCTACAATAATAAAAGTACCTAATCTCTACAGACATTTTGGAGAGAAATACCAGTGCGCATTACGAAACTTATGGCTATATACATTATACATTAATAACGCATGCACATGTCCATTATATTATACATACATAACACGAAAGATGACATTCGATAGATCAATGCATTATACATAATACATTATACATTAATAGTGCACTCGATATATTAATACATACTCTAATAAAATTTGCTAAACTCTACAGACATATTGCAAAGCTGTACCAGTGCACATTTTGCAGCTTATAACTATATACATTAAAAATACATGCACGCATACATTACATTAACACATACGTTACATAAAAGGTGCATTCGATACATTTATAGGTGCACTGGATATATCAATACATACAATAATAAAAATTTTCTAAAGTCTACAGACATATACCAGTGCAAATTTACAACTTATAACTATATACATCGTTACACATTATACAATAATAGTACATGCATGCATACATTACATTGATACATACATAAGATAAAATGTGCATTTCCCTATTCGATTAGATTGAGCATTAAATTTATGCATTGACATTTTGCATTAACTTATGTAAGAGTTAGGACTCCTATGGGTAGATGAGACTGTGTTCCGCACTGCAGTGTTTAGTGCCTAGCGCTTCGAGTTTTAGAATCATTAATATATTATCCTCTGTATTGAAGGTTGCTTAAAAATAAATGTCTTGTAGGCGGTTGTATTTGTAGTTGGTAGAGCCTGGTAAAAGTCTCGTGTAAGTGGGCATGATGCCAGATAATGATCAGGCTTGGCCACATCTCCACATACACAGACGTTGTTATTTGTTAGGTGCCTATCTTAAAAGTAACTCGCAAATGGCGCGTGTTCAGTTACGAAGAGCGTTATATACGGGTCTGAAATTAACCTGTCTGTACTGAACCTGTGGAAGAACTCGTATGTGCGTCTGCCCTCGGGAAGGAATCCCAGTTCTCTAGCCAGTGGATTAGAAAATCCTTCCACGTTGTCCTTCTAATGCTGCTTTTCGGAAGCAGCACCTATATTTGCTGAGCATTTATGTTCTGTGCGGCCACCTCTTTTGCGAGTAAGTCCGCCTCCTCATTTCCATGGTGCCCAAAATAAGCTTTAATCCAGGATAAGTGGAGTGGAGATGTCGACGATCTAGTTCTCAGGAGTGTTGGATTTCTGCAATAAGTGGGCTGGGATGATAAGGATTCCTTATTACAAGATGGCCAATTGGCTGTCGGTGTAAATGCTAAAAGAATTTTCACTGTTAGCGGCTGCATAAGACAGCGCATGTTTCAGGGCTGCTGCTTCTGCCTGGAAAACAGAGTTGTGTCCTTTCAGGTTCCCTTTCCATACTGCAAAGGCGTTGATACTTGACGTTGATCTTGGCGTTGAGAAGCGGCAACCCATCTGGTTGCCAAGCTTCAAGCCATCTGGATAAATGCATATTTTTGATTTATCCTCTCTGCAGGAGATGTAGTCAGAATGCGCATGCACTCCTCTGCCATATTCTGCGGGATGAAATAGTCGTACTGTTCTTTTTTCTTCAAAGTGCGCATGGATATAATGCTGCCCCCTATAAAAAGACTGCTGTCTTATCTCTGCTGTTGTATCTCGGAGAATTTCCCACAGAGAATCAAGAAGAGGAAAATACCCTGCTCGTTTTACTTGCCGCGCTGTAGAAAATATATGCGGCACCTAATATATTGCTACCTTGTTTTAACTGGCTTGGAAACAGCTGTAGTTGATTGCGATGGAGTTAATTATGTTCAAGTGAGGAGTAGTTTCGTCAGAAGGTACCGTTTAATTAATAATTATGCATGGAGTTAAACAGGAAAGTTTTGCTTGGAAAAGAAACGTTTTGTTCTCTTTGGATTAGTTTTGGGTTTTTTTTTTTTTTTTTTTTTTTTTTTTTTTTTTGAGTTGGATGAGAAGTTAGCGAAAATGAAGAAGAAAAAATATGGGAGAGAAAAATAGAATGCGGCTGATAATTAGTAGAAAGGAATATACGTTTTTTTCTTAGATAGAGAAAGAACAATTTATATGTAATAACTGGTAGAATAGCGTGACGATGGAGAAGAGAAAACAGGGTAATATGATGATAACTGTCAAGCGTGTATGAGATAGCAAAAAAACTTACGAAATAAGTATCGGCCTCGTAAAAGATGACCAGCTGTACTAAATTGTAACGTTGAGCGCTTCCAACCTGCACGCAACAATAGTGGTGACTTCTGAGAACTGGAAAGGAGACCAAAGTCTTGAGAAGGGTTTAAATCCCTTTTTATTCAACTTTAGAAGTTACAAATGCGTGCTCTTGACGCTCACAAAGTACGCCGACCCGGCGGTAAAGTAAAAATAAGAAACTAAGAAAATAATAGTAACAAGTGACTAACTTTGAGGCTCTCTAAACATAACTAACCTCACCGCTTTCTAAAATACCGCTGATAATTCAGCAAACTCTGAATATTACGTTGAAAGATTAACAATCTGCCGAGGCAAACACACAGGCCGAAACGCGTGGTTCTTCGATTTCTAACTAGCCACCTCCACGCTCGTGAAGCAAAAAAGCACACTTTCGAACTCGTTTCCTTTCTATTTAACTCAGATTACTTCCGCTGATAATTTGAATCCTTGCGCGTTCTACTAAAATTTACATACTCTGGCATTGGCAATTCCAGGGGAAAGTAAGGCTTGACAGGAAAGATAGTTTAAACTTAGAATAAATGTTAGTTAAAATAAATATAAACCCTACATTTGCCGCTGCCAGAATTTGGTAAACTTGGAAGCAGGTCCTAGAAACGACCTGTTGAAAAGTTTCCACAATTCTGAACTAAATTTTAAGAGCATCGTTTACATAAAAAAACTGTTTTTTTCACAAATGGTAGAATAAATTTCTGTATATACTTATTTAACTCTCTCTTCTTACAGCAACCTTTCCTGGACTTCAGCAATCAATCTGTTCTCTTCCTTCCAGCATCTGGAAGCAATAAGTATCAGTATCTTTCTAAATACATTATAATTTACACTTTCTTGACACTGAATAAGCTTTTGTTTTTGAACGATTTATTTTCCTTGGTTACTGCTTAATTCACATTCATTCAAGTATTCAAACATGAATTTAACTTTACCCTGGCTCTCCACCATGTGTGGTGTCAAACGGGAATATTCGTGTTTTTAGTATTGCAAAACTTCCCCTAACCACAATGATTTGTTAGAATTCAACGACCAAATAGACACACCTTACTCGACATTCTACAACTCCATGAGCTACTTTAAAATTCTTAAAATTCAAGTGTAGGTGGAGAAACCTACAAAACACATTCATTCAAACTTCCCCCTCATTCATCTTTAGACATGCAGGCTTTCGCTCTAAAGCATGATTTTATCTACAGTTTAATACTTAAATTTGAATTCATTGCTTTTGAGCATTTACTTTTAGCATCTAAAATTTTATGCTTCTAGACTAAATTCTACTTTTACATAACTTTCAAGTATTTACGTATATTTACAAAATTCTAATACATATGATTTTTACAATTTACCATAAAATGAATAAGAGAAAAATAAATTTTTACTTTACTCATTCTTCGCCAAGCTGGCGGCACTGAAACTAAAGTTCTTATTAATACAAGAATACGAAGTTATTTTTATCTTCGGCCAAATTTTGGCTTTAACATAACAGAATTAGTCTTTCGACCAACAGAAAATGCTTGTTCTTAGATTTTATACTTAAAGAAAATAATACTTTTGCCTTAGCTAAATAAAGTAAAACAAAACTAAGTCTCAACCGAGACACATTGACTTCCGTCAAAACATAGAACTTCGTATTTACGCATAACATTTCGGAACAAAAAGAAAAAAAATTATAGATTTTAACTTATCCTTGAGTTTTCGATGATTGGAAATCCGACATCCCTTTCTGGCAGAATTGCTCCCACGTTATAGGTTTCATCGACGTCAGTCTTCTCCTTAGTGTCCTCCGAGTGTCGTCCACGTTACTTTTTCTTTTTCGCCCTCTGCATACTGGCCTCTTGGGGTGGTAGTCGTCGGGTTGCTGTCTTTTCCGTTTTTCCCTGGACGGCTGGTCTTGACGTCCTCCGGTCTGGAGTCATGCTTGAATTTCTTCTGTTGGTGGTGGTCTTTTCATTCCTCCTTCTGTCTTTTCGTTTTCGGGAACGGCGGCCTTGTTTGAACCTGACTCTCTGGCCTTGGAAGCGTTCTCCTCGATGTAGAATTTCTACTGCGATACGTTGTAAGTGTTGTTTTCCTCTTTACCAAGGTTTCTTAAGCGACGGCTTTGCTTTCTTGTATTTCTTAAATGCTGGAGTCTGAAAGTTTTCATTTCTTCTTTTCGGTACCGTCGCATGGGTTGTAGAAGGGCTAGGTTTCTCTTCAGTTCTCTGCTTCTTGGGTGGTGGAACGGGTGACGTTAAGTCTGGACCTTCTACTTCTTTTACGCTTGAGTCCTGCAAGAAAGTTTTAAGGATTTCAATATCATTTTGATTATAATATTTTTTCACCTGGTCGGGACTTGCTTTACAGATTTCCCCTCTCTCGTTCTTAAGGTACAATACGACTCCCTTGATTTCCTGAATTACATAGGGGCCTTCAAATTTTGGAGCTAACTTTGCAGTAAAATT